TTTAGGGAAAGCTCACAAAAGCTGCCACGGTCCGCTTCCATTCTGTCCCTTTGGCCAGGTGCAGTTGCAAGGGAGGCTGGGGACGGCAGGTTTCATTCTGGGCAGGCACGTGCCCTCCCTGTGGGAGATGGTGCACCGCCGCCAGCCTTCCTGTATGGCGCCCACGTGATTCTGTGTCGCAGCTGCCTCCCAAGAGACTTTCTTGCTCGTGCGGTTGGGGAGTCCACATAAGGGGTGGGCCAAGGTGCAGCTGGATCCAGGTGTGGGAAGAGTGTCCTTGGGACTCACTCCATCAGTGGGCTGGGCTCTACTCCCCTTGACGTGGTTTCTCCCGCAGGTGGAGCGCCCAGTGGCTCCTGGCCTCACCCACCAGCAGGGCCACCCCACTGGGACGAGTCCTGGGTCAGGGATCGGGGAGTGCTGGCTGAGCGAGACTGGGGAAGGGTCCCCCGGGCCCAATGGCAGTCCAGGCCTGGCTGGGGCCAGGCGCTGTCCCTCTCACTGCCACCCTCCTCTGCCCTGCAGGATGTGGCGGCCTTGAATGGCTTGTACCGTGTCCGGGTCCCTCAGCGCCCTGGGGCCCCTGATGGCCCAGAAGCCGGTGGCTACGTCTCCTCCTTTGTCCCCGCGGTGAGTCAGTGATGAGGACCATCCTCGCTCCTCCCACTTGCCCCGGCCTGGCTTCCACCATTTGTTGCCCCAGCATTTATGGACAGGGAAGACTCAGGCCTGGCCTTGCTCTCAAGGGTCTCCTGGGCTGGAGGGGGACAGTCCAGGTGGTGGGCGCTTTGATGGGGCAGCACAGGGCCCAATAGGGAAGTTGTCACGCTTGGGCTTGTGCCCGAGGGTGGAGGGAACCACGAAGGGTTTCGAAAGATCTTTCTGGGCCCCGTGAGAGGGGCTGGAGGCTCGGGGGTCTTGGCGCTGGCAAGGTCTGGTGGCGACCCTCCCCTCCCTGCCCCCCCTAGTGCTCCCTGGTGGAGTCCCACCTGTCGGACCAGCTGACGCTGCACGTGGATGTGGCTGGCAACGTGGTGGGTGTGTCGGTGGTGACACACCCCGGGGGCTGCAGGGGCCACGAAGTAGAAGATGTGGATCTGGAGCTGTTTAACACTTCTGTGCAGCTACAGCCACCAGCCACCGCCCCAGGGTGAGGACGGCAGGGTGTGGGTGCCCCAGGGTGTGGTGCCCCAGGGTACAGTTGCTCCAGGATGTGGGTGCCCCAGTGTGCGAGTGGTCCAGGGTCCCGGTGCTCTAGGATATGGTGCTCCAGGATGTGGGTGCCCCACAGTGTGGGTACCCCAGGGTGCGGGTGCTCCAGGGTGTGGGTGCTCCAGGATGTGGTGCCCCAGGGGGCGGGTGCTCCAGGGTGCGGGTGCTCCAGGGTGTGGGTGCCCCATGGTGTGGGTACCCCCGGGGTGCGGGTGCTCCAGTATGTGGTGCCCCAGGGTGTGGGTGCTCCAGGGTGCGGGTGCTCCAGGATGTGGTGCTCCAGGGTGCGGGTGCTCCAGGGTGTGGGTGCCCCACAGTGTGGG